CAAGTAGAGGATCCAAAAACGAAGGCACCCAAAATCACAAGTCACTTTTGAAAATCTTGTCTTTATATTTGTTGAGCACTAGAGATGGGTCCAACCCAGGTACCCAGTGGTGAACACCCACTCCTGAGCTGTTGAGCAGATTCAATATCCAGACTCACAGTTCATTCCTTGGGCTTAGCTCTAAGATAAAACCAAACCAGAAGCCTAGATCCAACCTTTCCTGAAGAAAGAAAGGATGGTCCAATAGTTAGGGCACCAGCCTAGGACTTGGGAGTTATGGATTTAAGACCCTGATCTGCCACAGGCTTCCTACATGACTGCTGCCAAGTCATTTAGTCTCCCTGTGTCTCAGTTCCCCATCTGTAAAATGGGGGTGATAGCACTTCCTCTTTCATATCGGTGTTATGAGAATAAATACAGTGCATTGAAGATTGTGAAAATGTTCATATATTATGGTGATAGGACCATAACTGTTAAGCATACAATCTTAGAAATGCCCTGAGGTTCTTTCATAAGGAAAGAGAGGGATGAGAGCTTGATGAAGAAGTGGATGGTCACATGTATTTGAAGCTCCTCCCAAGTGTGTTAATTTTTAAACTCTTGATCATCATGAGGCATATCGTTCCCTCTGCCCATAGTGGTGGAGGGGACACAAAGGCGGTGTGGATCTGGATAGGGCTGTCCAATATGCTGGGTCATCTTCACACCCTCATTCCCCCTTTCTCTGACACAGGGTCTATGTGATTGCTCCACAGGAGTCAGGGTCCACAGTGCACAGCTAGATACAGATCTGCTCTCCACAGCATTGTCTCCCGCCAATAAACTGGGTCTTCAGCAGAGCAATTATTAACTGACCTGCTTTCACCCTCTGTGATGTGAAAAACTCCTACAGGGCTATTTCCTGGGTGAGGAGGGCAGCAAATGACAGAAACCAGTGGCAAAAATGCTGTGGAGAGTTGGGGTAGGTTGAATACCAGTGCAGATACACAGGTTCCCCTAAGCAAACAGCTTTGGCCTCCATAGATGACAAGTGATATGCTCATTTGGGGGCGGGGACTGGAGTAAACTTCCTGGTATCACCACAAGGAAGAAGAGGAAAAATCCTGCTGCCACCCACCCAAGTGAAGAATAAGGAGGAAACTCCACCTGTTTGAAGTCATGGATCACTCACTCACCTATTCAGAAATAGCCTATGTAGGCCATGATGATATGACCTTATAAGCTCCAAGTAGAGTATGCCTGGCATTTAAAAATTCATCTCATTGCCAACATGACAGATAAAAAGTTTGCTTTAGACTACTCTGTAAATCAGATTAAGCAAGAAAAGCAACAAGAAAGGCTGGGATATGGCTTAATTATATCATATTTTAATCACATACTTAGTAGCCAAAGCCAAAACCAAAGGCCTCCCCAGCATGGTCCAGGGGCAGCAGCCTAGGAGAAAAATCAGGCCCACTAGCTTCCTAGTTGCTGAAACATGCCCCTACCACACCCACACATTTCTGTTGTGTTTGTCTACCAGGTGCCTAGTAACCTGCCCTCTGTTAATGTATTAGGCCCTACCATTATTTTTAAAATATCAGAAATATTCTGCAGTTCAACCCTAGTAAATAAAGTTCCCAGTTAACTTCTGTATTTCCATGTTTGAACCCACACACCTTCTCAGTGTGGTGTTCTGTCCCATCTAGTGGCACTGAGACCACTTAGCGAGAGACAAAGAGATTAATGAGTCTGCTCTACAGCCTTAGCAAACAGCCAATTGGCCTTTAGCTCATGGAGTAGAGGCTCATACACTAATCTCCAGAGGTCCCAGGGTCAAGCCTACCTACCAACAACCAGGGTCTGTTGGTGTTACACAAGCACATATCGAACAAGAATGTTTTTGTTCAAATACTTGTATTTCTTTATCTTACACAAACTGTGGGTCAAGACCCAAAAGTGGGTTGCAGCCCCATTTTAATGGGGTTGCCAAGGCTGGTGTTGGACAAGGACCACAGCAAGCCTGAAGCCCAAGCCCAAGTCCCACCACCCAGGGCTAAGGTTACAGGTCACCCTCCCAGGGCGGAAGCCCTTGGGCTTCAGCTTTGGCCCCACCACCCTGGAGGGCTCAGTCTCCGGTCCCTCCTCCTGGGGTCATGTAGTAATTTTTGTTGTCAGAAAGGAGTCACGATGCAATGAAGTTTGAGAACCGCTGCAATAGGTCATTGTAAAAATGCCCTTTAGCTTGTATGGAGTTACCATCACTTTCAACATCTGTCATTCCAAAAGCCCAGGAAGTCCTTCAGTTTGAAAATGTTGATGTTATATAAAAATGCAGTACTGTGTTTAGATGTTTATGAAAGCACTTTAAACCAAAAACGCGAGCTCAATCAGACTGGAGAGCGGAAGTTTGCTAGTGATAAATCCTCATGTGCAAAGGCAGAAAGGATGGTCAGTGGTTAGCATGTTAGCCTGGGAGTCGAGCGACCCAGGTTCAACTGTCTCCTTTACCACAGTGGCCTTAGGCACTTAGTCTCTCTGTGCCTCAGTTTCCTATCAGTAAAATGAGGATCAATGTGGATATTTCCCTTTCTCATAGGGCTGTTGTGAGGATAAATACAGTAAAGATTCTGAGGTGCTCAATACTTTACCGATGGGGTCAAAATAAATGCAACCGATAGACAGCAAAGTACAAATTGGTACATGAGATTTAGAAACTTTTAAAATAATTGGAGAAAATACAGCAGGCTATATTCTGGTGCTGCCGCAGGCTATTCCACTGAAGTCAAGGAGTTTTAAGTAGGTAAGTCAATGCAGTATGTGGTCCGGTGATTCAAGGCATATTCAACTCTGAGCTGGGACCTCTCTGTGGCCTAGTGTCCCTTTCTTTCAATTAAGTTGTATGGTTTATAATAATACAAAGCGAGATTTGTCTCTTAGTCTTTGACTGTATATCTTCTGGATTTCAAGAGTTTCAAATCAAAGCCTTATTATATTTTGAGCTCTTCTGATCATCATTTTGTGTGTGTGCATATACACACACATACCTACATGGCATACACATATGATGTATGAAAAAGAGCCTACGATCAAATCCTGTTCATCTTCCTGATAACCCAATGTCACACTGAAGTGAATGGGGTACTCCCATGAGTCAAGAAAGCAGATATTAGCATGTAGTCCACATCCTGGGCTAATAACATGAAGATTTTAGTTTAAAACAAAGCTATTAGAGATCTAAGAGCATCAGAAATCCATTAGTGTTCCATTACTCTTATTTTTTGCAGCCTTACCCTTGAGATTGTCAAATAATTTTTTTTACTTGATTTTCATTTTTAAATTCACTCCAGGAATTTATGCCAGTTTTAAAGCAAGCAGAAATTTCCATCTGACTTTATAATTGAAATGCTGACAATGACAAATCCTTATCTATAGCTACTTAAAAGTTGCTGATACATATTTTCTGCCATGGTAGTGAAAACAAGCAAACAAACAACAACAAAAAACAGAACAAACTGGAGGTTAAGGGGTTTGTTGGTAGGCCAATGAGTTTACATAGGAAAGAGAAAATCGACTCCAAAGCATAATAGTTAAGATTTATCACATACCAGTGGTGAAAACATCATCTTGGTTATCCAAGTATTATTAGACAGGCTACTACATAGTAGTGAAGCACACTCTTGTCTTATAATAAAAATATAATTCGCACAAAATATAGCATTTCTTCAAAACACAACACAAATTCTTCTCACTGAAGCAAGGTCTAAATATGAGGGTGAATATAATGACATTCATATAAAACCTTATATTAAAGTACATAATGAAAGTTTAAATCCGTCTTCTTAAAAGACAAAGAGGGTCCATCGCTCAAAACAACTGCTAGTTGTTACAGAACGAAAACAATACAAAACAAAAATTAAAGTTCAGTTTTACACATAAAATTCCACTACACTCTACCCAGCTTTCACTGTAACCTTAAATCTATGCCTGGCCTGGTTATCCCCCTTTCCTTTTCCCCTCTCAGATAAAGCTGGGATGTAGTCTAGTGACACTAATGTAGCATGTTTCTTCAGTAGATCTCAAAGGCAGGTAAATACATATGGGAAAAGTGAAGCACAGGGGGTGAAGTGACTTGCCCAAAGTCACACAGTTAGTCAGTAGCAGAGTTTGGAACAGACTCCACATCTCCTAACTCCTAGCTTCCTGCTCAGTTCACAGCTACCTATAGGGGAGTAGGGTACACTTTGCGGAGAATAAACAACTAAAGAGAGAAACCCAGCTCTCTCCTTTCCTCTCATTTTTGACTGAGACAAGCAGGGAAAGACGATTTTCTCATCCTAGCCTTTTGGGGATCTGGTGGGGCACTTTCTAAAACCTAGCACTGATGGTTCCAGCAAGCCAATTTAAAATTAAATACCCAGATGACCCTGAAAACAAAATCTAGCTGGAGGAAAGTAAGCTATATCATTTATTCACCAAAATTATTATTTTCACTTAAATTGTTACTAAAACCAGACCCGGAATTAAGAGAAAAGGCTGGTGCTCCAGGCAGTTCAGACCTTCCAAGGCACAGATCTGAATCCAAGCAGGTGAGAGAAGGGGCCCCCAAGGTCATGGCACCACATGCCAGAGGAGTATGAAAAGCCTGCCTGGTGATGCCAGCTTAAAGCTCAGTATTTCAATGGGTACCGATCGGATACCCCAAAGCAATTAAAAACCCAGCTCTTTCTTTCACATTGGCCCCCCTCCAAATCCTCCTTTTGTTTTATAAATTCCCCAATTCCTCCTTTTATCAATCGATTCTCTGCCCCTTCACCCCCCAACAGAAAGCATCAACAGCTCCCAGGAGCACAGGAAGGCAAAAACACATCACACATAAACACCACCACCACACACCTCATTCTCCTCTAGGGCAAAGAAGGAGGTAGGGAAGAATATCAAGCAGAAGCACTGTGTAAGCGCCAAAGCTTGTCTCTTTCACCAACAGAAGTTAGTCCAATAACTGATATTATCCAACCCACCTTATCGCTCTAAGAGGAAGCTCAGTTACTCGCTGCCTTGTCCTGGAACTGGCCTTTGTGTGCAAACAGCTTGCTGCAGAGATGTCAATTGACCTCACTGGCTGTCTGGTGCCCGCCCTAGAGGAGGGACCCACAGGATACAGACATGGGTAGGTGGGGGGACGAAAGGGGAATCGGGAGAGCCTCAGAACAGCAGCCTTCAGCCTACACTGCAACAGACCTATCAAGTGTCAGTCGCTTGGGGCCTGATCCTGTGAGGGTCTGAATCTCCCCAACACCCATTGCTGTATGCAGTGTAGCTGTAGCCCTGTGGGTCCCAGGATATTAAAGAGACAAGACACAGAGCTCTGTGTGGCTCGAAAGCTTGTCTCTCTGACTGACAGAAGTTGGTCCAATAAAAGATATTCCCTCACTCACCTGGTCTCCCAAACAACCACTGACATCAGCAGGAATTAAAGCAGCCCAGCATCTCATAGGAGGGACTCAGCATCCCACCGGATAAGGCATTTGGGGGCTGATCCAAAGCTCCCTGAAGTCAGTGACTCTTCTCATTGACTTAGTGGGTTTTGGATCAGGCACTAGGTAAGGAAACTCTGCCTCCTTGGGGTTTTAATGTTCACTCATTTTTTGTAAATCTCATAATTCAGTGCAGACAGATCTTGGTGTGTGGGGGTGCATTTCAAAGCTGCCTCCCCTGCCGGAAAAGTCCTACAGAATTTAATGGGATGAAGTCAATAGGGTTCATTAGAAATTAAACAGATGTCTACAGGCATTACTCTGAAATCCCATCAGTGGGATTATATCAAGGAGGTCTTTGGCCAAATATTTTATAATAAAAGTTACATTGTATACCAACACCTAGGGGGTGGGGGAGGCAAATGCAGGACCTAATTTTATACATTGGCCAGACATAAAAAAAAATTAAGAGTTCAGGAGAGAAAAAGCCCAAATTACAATTCACCCTCATCTGACAGTCCTGGGTGGACCAGCCAAAACAAAACAAAAAAAAGCAGCCAGCAAGCAAACAGGCCAGGGCATTAATTAAAGGGGGGGGGGGAAATCAAGCTCTGTATCAGAAACCTGGGGGATACTTTAAAGGGGTTTCTGAAAGGAGAAGCGTTCGCCTTTTGCAAATGCAGTTCCTCATCATATGGCATCCCTGCCAAAGTGACCGGATTAAGGGCCCAATCCTGCTAGGTTTACACCCACAGGACTAGCCCAGGGAATCACAAGAGACAGGGTGGGAGATAATATCTTTGACTGGACCAACTTCTGTTAGTGAGAGTAGGGTGACCAGATGTCCCAATTTTATAGGGACAGCCCCGATATTTGGGGCTTTTTTTTTATATGGGTTCCTATTACCTCCCACCCCCTGTCCCGATTTTTCACATTTGCTATCTGGTCACCCTAAGTGAGAGAGACACGATCTGGAGTCACACCGCGCTCTTCTGGGAATCAGGCACTTCTGTGCATGGAGGGGGGATGCAGGGTCCAGCCTGTAAGTGGGCGACGCTGGGTGCTTTCTCCACCAAGGACTTGCAAGGAGCTTCCTTTTGGGGGGAAGCAGCGTCACGTAGCACGTCACTCGCGCTTGTCTCACACACCCATGGCTCGCCGAGGCCGCCGTCTGGAGTCCCCCTAGCGGGGCCCTCACCTCCCAGGCTTGCCTCCGCCTCTTGTATTGTGACTCAGCGCTAGGAGGCGGAGAGCTGAGGTGATCCCGCCGGCCAATCAGGAGGCTGCCTGGGCTCAGCCCAACACAGCTGGGTGGGAGGTGAAAAATCAGCCTGAACTCGCCAGCGCCGGGAGTAGGGGGTTGGCTTGGCATGTTGTTTGCATGAGTTTTTTGGGGGGTTTTTTGCGGCGGGGATGCGTCATGTAAACGGTCTGTTCCCGAGCAGATATGAGAATGAGGAGGGGGGGGTGTTATATAACCATGGAGGGCAGAGCTCAAACCCGAAGTTGCAGCAAGTGGCGTGATTTAGCCATAGAGTAAAAGTATTTTGCACAATTTCTGACTGCTTCAAAGGGGTAGTGTGTGTGTGTGGGGTGGGGGGGGTCCTTTGGAGATTCATGCTCTGTGATACACTGATCTCTCTCACCTGAGTAGCACTCAGTAATAAAACCATGGCTAGGTCCTTTCCCAGGATGATCTCAGCTAGACACGTGCATCTATCCTAGCTATTACGGCACTTTTTTCTACTGAGTCTCCACCTCCCTTCAGTGCGAGAGCTGCTCACAACCCACGGGTGTGCTCCTTCATCACCTCTGCTAAGTGCATCTTCATAGCTCTCTGATACGAAGATGTAAATCATGCAAGGAGTGGGCCAGTGCTCAGAGGGCGGCACAGCAGAAACACAAGCTGCTAGGCTGCCGGGGGAGCCAAACAGGATTGGGCAGAGGGGGAGTGAAGGGTCACAAAGGAGATTGCATGTATGAGAGCAGAGGAAAGGAAAAGGGAGATGGGGACAGAGAGAGGAAAAGGAACTAGGAAATGGCAGTCAGCAGAGGAATACAGAATAGAATTTGCAGCGTTCTTCTCTGTGTACCAAATACAGACTGTTCGCATCACCAAGGACCTCAGGAATGTAACTTCCAAAGATATCTTTTTGAGGGGAAGGAGTCTTGTGGATAAAGTACAGGAGAGAGTGTCAGCAATCTGTGTTCTATTCCTGCAACTGCCACAGACTTCTCTGTGACTTTCAACAAGGCACCTACACTTCTCTGTGTCTCCATTTTCCCATCTGTGGAATGGGGATATTACTAACAGTTGCTTCAGAGAAGTGTGGTGAGGCTTAATTCATTAGCGTTTACAAAGTGCTCTAAGATCCTTGGAGAGAAAGCAAGATAACTTCAGAGTGTTATTTACAAGCTTACCGTAATGGGACTGAAGAGGGGAAAGAATTTTGAACAGGAAGAACTCAGAAGTCTTAGAAGGCTTCTAGGAATGAGGTTCTCAAACTTTTACAAAGTGTAGATGACCTCATGGATCTCCCATTTATGATCATGCAAGAGACTTTCTTTCCCGTTCATGATCAAATAACATCTCTGTGGCAATGACAGCAG